ACTGTACCACCAACAAAGTTGGCGGATCAAGCGATAGACAGGCGGCAAATCAAAATGTCCTGCAAAATTTATGGTCTCAATAGCCTGTGGTCAGTCAGATCACAAAATATCCTTTCGCCATAATTTCACTTCTTTTAGAGGCGATATTGAGGAACGGCCATTGTGCTCTGATAGCACTGAAAAAGCTCCGCCAATTACCGTGCATTGCACTAAGCACTCTCCAATCGAATTCAGAATACACTCGTCAATGAGGGTGGCAGGCCGACCAGATTTGTGGTTTTTTCTCAAGTATCTGGAACTCGGCAACCAAATAATTGGCATATTGTGAAAGATAGTCTGGAGGTCCATCACAACACGTAGGCCTCCTACTGCTTCGCTTCAATCGCATTTTGTGGGCTTATAAAGGCAGGAGCAGTCGAACATACCTTCAGTGAAAGGCGATTTTTAAGCTTCAAACGCTGCGAAATGCTACGACAGAAATGCTGTGGAGAGAGCATTAACCACCGCTCACATGCGTTTAACAGTGAATGTTCAAAACGATCTCAAAAGATTTCGGAAGATGAACAAAAAACACACAAGGACTTTTCCTCTGTATCGCAATTTTGGTAGGAGCAGCTTTTCTTCAAACTTTTTTATAATTATTTTTCGATTTTTGCACCGTTTCATAATATAAGGTCACCCTGAGAAAAAGAACAATTACCTAAGATTAATGACAGATAAAATAGACATAATAATGTATGGTTCCTCCTTTATCAAGGGCAACATTGAATAGCCTCCGTGGCCTACCGGAATTGAGATTCCAAGGCAGATCACCATCGATTCACTTCCGTGTTCAAGGGTTACACGCTCTTGTGTAATTTTAACTGGCGTTTATCCGCACTATTCTTCATGACGAAGATGCCCCTGAGATGTTCTACTAAATACGACTAGAACTTCAGAATAATCTTCTTCAGTTCATCTGAGTTTCGAGAGAAATGCTTCTTCTGGTTGAGTGACCTGCATGGGTACCTGTTCTGGACTGTACACCTTTTAGATATTCAAAAGAATGGCTTCAAAATTGTCTTCAGATCTTTCTCTGTATGAACGGAATGGCTACTGTACATCAGTACTTTCAGTAATCAATCACTCGAGAATAAATAAATCTTTGTAAGTTCTTCCTGCAGCGTTAATCCATAAACTTGCAGAAAATGGAAATAGAAAATTACTTGACGTAATGCTACCCAAATAAGGTGTACATGGAAACAGCTTTGTTGAATGGAATATATAAACATTAGTTTATTACGTCGTAAGGCTCACGTGAGAAAACACAACAATGACAGTGTAAATTCCCAGAAGAGCAGGCACCAATGATAACGACAGCATATTTGCTAGTCGGTCTCTGGAACATTAGGATCCACCACTTCGTAACAGAACCTTAATCTGTATATGCTCCTTCTCGTGCTAAGTAACAGACTGCTTTAAAATTGCTTGTAACTGAAGGGTCCTACAAAAGTTATATAATACATATGTGAGCAGAAAGGAAAATAAGCGATGTAATGAGGGTATGGACGTGGAACGCACATTTCAAACCAAACCAAAAACCGGCTATGAGAAACATTTTGCCTAATAGAAGATCATAAAGCGAATTAGTGGACGTGACTGTCTTTAAAGTGTATAAAAAACAATGTGAGGCTTCACAATGTTTATCAAAACGACTCGAAATTTTTTTTACAAAAGATTTGCTAAAGTGTTGCAATTGATTTAAAAAGTTCAAAAGCCTGTTTTCGTGAGCTCCTGGCGCTTAGCGCCTTCGTCAGGAGCTCTTCACACCTTAAAATGAGCATGAGACTCCGGGACAGAACAACACTGGAATGTCTTAAAAGCGTTTCTTTTCGAAGTCTAGTACTTACAAAGATAGTTCAGTCTCACGAAATGTGGTGGAACTAAAACAAGTAATACGTGTAACTGAATCATCCGTTTTGTGTGTTCAGTGCAAATGAACAACTTACGTGCAACTTGGCGCAAACTTCAAAAAATAGGATATCAAAATAGAAATATCATAAGAAATATCGTGTATAAAAGTGTAGAGGAACCCTTCGTTATCAAATTGACGTAAACTCTCATGTCTAATCCAACGATGGGTGTTTTATTTATATTTAGTTTATGTTCTTGTGATCCGTGATCCATGTTATACAGTTGCCTTGTATAAAAACATTAAGGGCAAAGTTCGGGCTCTGACTCACCTAAGACCCGGGGCCGTATGCAACAAGCCCCGAAGGTCTTCGGGGATATATCCCCGAAGTCGTATGCAACAAGCCCCGAAGGTTTTCGGGGATATATCCCCGAAGATCGTATGCAACAAGCCCCGACGATCGTCGGGGACATATCCCCGAAGTCGTATGCAACAAGCCCCGACGATCGTCGGGGACATATCCCCGAAGTCGTATGCAACAAGCCCCGACGATCGTCGGGGACATATCCCCGAAGTCGTATGCAACAAGCCCCGACGATCGTCGGGGACATATCCCCGAAGTCGTATGCAACAAGCCCCGACGATCGTCGGGGACATATCCCCGACGACCTTCGGGGCTTGTTGCATAGGGTCGTCGGGGAGGATTCGTCGGGGATGAATCCCCCTAGTCTCGACAGGGGATTTATCCCCGACGCCTCCAACTACGTGTTACTTAGCTAACTCATGTCAGTCAGATTGGAGACTTCGAAGTCGGCGTTTGCGGTCCGCCGAACCTCGTGAATGAAACTCCCATTTCCGCTTATCGTTGCTTTCGTTGTGTCGCACATTTATGATCCATGTCTCACATTTATGATCGAGTTAACCTTTATTCGCTATTCTCAAGTAAGTTAACGTAGTATTGTAGTGGTTATCGATGCGTTTAGTTTTATATATTCACGGAACAAGTGTTACAGGTACACAATTCAGTTGGAACATGGCCACTTCAAATGAAGCGTCCGGAACTTTAAAGTTTCACTGCATTGAATAGTTGAATGAAGGCACATAGAGCTGCCCGGCAATTCTGGCTCCTGTGCGAAGGTTGGTATTCTTTTGTTATCTCTTTTCTGTAACCCTTCTAGTGACACCATCAAATCACAAATTTACACTAAAAACTGTTTCAATCAATTTACAATTTTTAGGTAAGGTTTCCGCAAAATTTGTACAGATTGCACTCCTGAGTTGGGCGTGCGCCTTTTCCAGTCCTTGGAAGAGGAGCAGCAAAAATCTCCACGTTCCTGAAGTTTCTTATCGCATACGTCGAGTTTTGGTAGTGGGGTTGCGTATGAGGCAAAGCGAGAACATCTACTGGTGCTCCTTTTCCGAATATCTCAACTGTTTTCAATTTTTTAATTGGTTCTGGCTGTCGCTTTTGACATTCATTTGTACAGCAGCTGAAAAAAGTGTGTGCGTATTCCCACGTTACTTCAAAAGTATGCTGATCACGCGCTTCCACTGTTGACAGTGGAGGAAATCTCCGGAGTGCGTGAACTTACTTTTGTGTCCAAAGGACTTCTTCACCTTGATGCAAACTGGACTACTCCATACGATATGAGCTTCACCTCATCCCTCTCTCCTCCTACGGGATGAGGCCTTGGAAACTTTCCCTCAATTCTCATACACTCTGTGTGCTCAGCGCCAAACCCTCCCGACATCTCAACTCCAGCTGGCTTCAAATAATTACGTCCGTGATTGTTCGGACCATTCTAATTCGGAAGACGAGGAAGATCGTCTGCAGACCATACATCAAAGAGACGACGGCCTCTATTCTTGGCCGTCGTCTCTCATTTTGTGATCTGCATCTCGATCTTCTCATCTCCGAAATCGAGGGTACGTCAAACAGAAGTGGATCGCAATTAGCGCACTCCGTGCGTACGCAGTAATTAGCACCCTTATCATTTCCATCGTAATTTACAGGGTCTGCGTGATCTGTCGATCGGATTAGCAACCGGCAGCGTGAGGCGACTCTAGTGATCATGCGAGGACTCCTTGAACAACGCTCACAATCAGCTTAACGCTCTGAGTCAATCAGGTAAGCAATTATTTTTGCGTGCATTTTCAAGTATTTTCCGGCTTTTACACCCAATTCCATGTATGAGTGTTGAAGCGTAGCACTTTCTTGTTGTGGTAACATCGTCGGAAAGCCGTTCTTACTGAATGCCAGACTGTCGTAGTGTAGTATAGATTTGTAGTCGTATGGTTGTCCATAGTAAGATGTTTTACTCAAATCTACCTTTCCGAAACTGGTCTAATGCACCTACAACAGTATGACGACACTTCGATCTATTGGAGGAAAGTTTGTGAAATAGGCAAAATTACGTGAACATTTCTTCCCAGTGACAAGTTCTTAATGTCTTCAATATACAGTAGCGGTCAAAAGTGTTCGCCGAAACGATTTTTGGTGCATTATTTTTTCTCGCTTGAGCAACGCCCTCCAAAGATTGATATACTATGTTTTCTAGTGTTTTTATATCCTCAAGTCTTAAGAATCAGGATATTCAAAAAAAAATTTCGAGGTCACCATTGATTTTTTTCTGGCAAAAAAAGAGAAGCACGAAAAACCGTTTCGGCGAACACTTTTGACCGCTACTGTTATCGATTTGTCACCACAATTATCGCTTAGGTTCTACTGTTTTTCAGTGGGTTGCATCTTCAGCGCCGGCGCCTTGGACATTGCTCGTTGGAAGGCGATAATTGAGGAGGCTAATAGGATAGGGGACATTCAGAATCAACTCCACCGATTCAGTTCGTCTACACCTGTTCGAGCATATGAAAGCTACTCTATATAGCCATTGATGTGAATGTCTGTTAGCAGCATTCTCTAAGTTCTAATGTCGTGATGGTGTACTGCATTCGTTGCGTGAATCTAACCTAATAAAAAGGGAGAGTCATTTGTTTGTGGTTGATTTCAAAGGTTCAATGTGCTTTGATTTTCTGGAACTGTTGAAAAATGAGGTGGATCGCGTCATCGCTCTTTTCGTTCCTTCATTTTGTACAGCAGCTGAAAAAAGTGTGTGCGTATTCCCACGTTACTTCAAAAGTATGCTGATCACGCGCTTCCACTGTTGACAGTGGAGGAAATCTCCGGAGTGCGTGAACTTACTTTTAAGTCCAAAGGACT